GTTACCCTTGGCTTGTTCCTTACCGAACAAACAAGCTCGAACCAAAGTCTCAACCTTGTGTTTTCCTCGGGTACTCACTTACTCAACATGCTTTCAAATGTTTAGATCTTCAAACGGGTAAACTATATCTTTCACGACACGTTACTTTTGATGAACACTTGTTTCCCTTCAAAAATAAACCTGATCAAGTCAAAGTAATAGCTCCTGCTCCTTCCCCCGTGAATGCCACATTGCCGTCTCCAGTGCCTTCTGTTCGTCTTGGCTCTTCGGATGGCTCCACTAACACACCTACTGTGCATGACACTCCTACCACCGTCACTCCGATTTGTGATCCAGGTACGGCTGCCCCTTGTACTTCTCAATCTTTACCTACAATTGAGCATTCTTTACTGATAATTCCTGCACCTGTAGCCACTCAGCGAACTCACCAAATGATAACTAGAGCTCGAAATAATATTTTTTGTCCGAAACAATTATCCGTAACCACTAAGTATCCTCTTGCATCACCTTTGGAACCAACATGTGCCTCTCAAGCACTTAAGGACTCCAAATGGCGCAAAGCTATGGCCGATGAGTTTACGGCCTTGGTTTCCCATGGCACTTGGAAACTCGTTCCAAAACCTCCAGGTTGTAATATTGTTGGCTGCAAGTGGGTCTTCCGAGTTAAACGTCACCCAGATGGTACTGTGGACAGATTCAAGGCACGTCTCGTCGCGAAAGGGTTCAATCAACGCCCCGGGGTGGACTACACCGAAACTTTCAGCCCGGTAATAAAACCCACGACCATTCGGCTATTCTTATCTTTGGCTCTATCAAATGGTTGGTCGCTCCACCAAATCGACGTAAATAATGCATTTTTGCATGGCCAGCTTACTGAGCAAGTCTTTATGCAACAACCAATAGGCTTTGTTGATTCTTCTCATCCTCAGTATGTTTGTGCTCTTCAAAAATCTATTTACGGTCTTAAACAGGCGCCGAGAGCTTGGTACAATGCATTACGGTCCGGTTTATTAGAATTGGGATTTTTCAATTCGAAGTCAGACCATTCATTGTTTATCTACAATCGTGACGGCATTCTCTTCTATATTTTGGTCTATGTTGATGACTTGATCCTAACAGGGAACAACACTCAGTTCTTGCAAAAGGTTGTGAAGTCGTTGGGTGTCAAATTCTCCCTAAAAGAATTGAGTGATTTGCATTACTTTCTCGGAGTAGAAGTGATACCGGTAAAGCAAGGTTTGTTTCTCTCTCAAAACCGATATGTTCATGATCTTCTTAGCAGATTGAAGATGGCAGGAGCGAAAGAGGTTCACACACCTATGTCGGTAACCACCAAACTACTTCTTAATGACGGCACTCCAAGCTGTGATGCCACTGAATATCGTCGGACTATTGGATCTCTTCAGTATTTGTCTCTTACACGCCCAGACATTGGATTTGTTGTCAACCGTCTTGCTCAATTCATGCATCAGCCTACGGTTTCCCATTGGCAGCAAGTTAAAAGGCTTTTACGCTATGTGAAACGTACCATTCATTTTGGTCTTCTTTTGCGACGACAAGTTAATCCAATCCTTCGTGGTTTCTCCGATGCCGATTGGGGAGGTGATCTAGACGACCGCAAGTCAACTACTGCGTATATTATATTTTTGGGTAACAATCCGATTAGTTGGCGCACTCGTAAGCAAAAAGGTGTTGCACGTTCATCCACCGAAGCGGAGTATCGAGCTCTTGCCACTGCTGCCTCTGACATGGCTTGGATTAAATCTCTTCTAAATGAACTTGGTATCAAGCTTCATGAGATTCCGTTGTTGCTTTGTGATAATGTTGGTGCCACTCAACTAAGTCTCAACCCAGTCATGCACTCAAGGATGAAACATATAGCCATTGATCTTCACTTTGTTCGGGATTTTGTTAAACGAGGTCGTTTGCGTATAGCACATGTACATACAGATGATCAACTTGCAGACTTACTTACCAAGCCCCTTGCACGTTCTCGTTTTCAAAAGCTGCGTAGCAAAATTAATGTTGCTGATGGAACACTAATTTTGAGGGGTCGTATAAAGGAATCAACATAGAATCGGGCATTCTATGATTTACGTTATCTCATTCCAGATCTTTCTCCTTGTAAATTGATTCACAATCAATTTGATTTATTTCCTTAGATAGTCTCATCCTTGTATTATATAAGACAAATTATAATGAGAATGTAAAGAAAAGTTTTCTCCACCAATTGTTTGACCAACTCTTATAGAATGGAGCTGGATAGCGTTGGTTATGCTTGAAAATGCTATATTTATTTTATTTAAATTTTGTCTTTTAAGGTATGAATTAGTTATTTTAGTTTTATATTAATTTTTATTTACTCTTGACATTTACATTATTTATGTTTTGTTTCAATTTAAGATTTCAGGTTATTCATTTTAGTTTCTAATTATTCTCCCGTAAAACTTATAAATTATATATATATATATATATATATATATATATATATATATATATATATATATATATATATATATATATATATATATATATATATATATATATATATATATATATATATATATATATATGGTTCTTCAAAATCAAAAACCGTCGTTTGACGGGACGAGCGCGAGTTTTGATAGAATCCGCGGGGTTATGGCCCGCGCACACCCCTAATAAATGTTAAGGGAATATGCAATAAATTTTGGTTTGACTAAATAAAATTTCAAATTTTATGTTTACTTTTAAACTAATTAAATTTAAAAATAATAACAGAAGAATATTCTTTTTAAAAGTAGAAGACTATAATTTTTTAAATAATAAAACAATAAATTTTTGCATAAAAAGAAATATATGATATGTATATATTAAAAAATGGAAAACGGGCCCCTCCAGGCCTAAAACTATCTATGGAAAATGGTTTAATATTCAAAATTAATTGAATTGTTTGAAAAATATTTTTTCATTGGTTTAAACTGATTGAGAATTATATTTCCGGACTTTGAAAGATTTTAAGTCAATCATCAATCAAAGATTCTAAAAATATAACCTGTCCAAAAGTTAGACAGTCTGTCCCGAAAGTTGCTGAAGCTCGGTGGAAAATGCTTTGCTGAAAATCGTTTTTGAAGAAAGAACACTCCTTTTGAGTTTCAAAATTCAAATGCTTACCACATTCAAGTGATTTAATATAACTGGATCAATTGAAGATCAATCACACTCATCATCCAATCAATCAAGAGACTAATGATTGATTCTTCCTTATGAAGAGCTTCACCTATAAATAGTGGATCATACATTCAAGCTTCATTCATTCCAACCCAATTTCGAAAAGAACTTATAAAGAATCATTTATTTATTACGAACTTCGAAATTCTCCTCTTGCTTATCACTTGTTTCATTATATATCATGAGAGGGATTTTGTAAAGCTCTTAGAGAGCATTTCTTTGTTGTGAGGTGTTTGTTGAGTGCGAAAGAATTAGTCTCTTGTAAGCACGTATTGATAAGTGCGAAAGAGTGAGTCTCTTGTAAGCACGTCGTTGGTGCGAAAGTCGTTATAGAGTCTTGTTAGCACATCTTTTTTCGTGTTGAGGATCCAAGGATCTTGGAGGCATGTGGAACAAAAGTTCGAGGGCATAGAAGAGTGGAGTAGGGGAGTTTCTCCGGACCACTATAAATTTGGTGTCATTTACTTTACGCACTTTATTTTATCATAATCAAATTTCCGCACTCATATATTGTTTATTGCTAAAACTTTATTCGACATTAATTTGGAAGTTTGCAAAATATTTATTACTTGAAATATTTTATTATCAAAGAAAAATATATTTTTCTAGAAATAATTTAATTGATATTTAAATCTGCAAAAATATTAAAAGTTTTGAAAAGCCTAATTCATCCCCCTCTTAGGCATATTTAATCTCTCAAAATTAAAAAAATTCCGTGAAAAATTACAGTATAATTAGGGAATCGGTATCAGATGGAAACAAACGTTGGATTTTGATAAATATGGATAGGTGGGAGCGTGTTTTATGATTCAGTCTAAGTTCAAGGAGTCCAATTTAGTTTGATATGATTACAACGATAGAGCCAACTGGTGAGGTTTATTATTATAACTATTATAATTAAATCATTAATTAGTGATTTTCTTCTATTCACCATAATATTAAATTATGAATAAAATCCTCCAATTAAGAATTTAAGAAAAGTTAATTTATATTATTTTCTTATTCGAGTAATTATAGCCCACGATAAATAAATAATCAGAAAATCTTGACGTATATTAAGGATTATGAATGACGTAGTGATACTCCGTATTAATAACGAGTTGTGTATTGTGATTTTATGATACACATATGGTTATATTCAATTCCGCATGATTTGATTATGCAATAAATTAATTATTTTCATCTAACACTCGCCTACGCTTTTCTTCGTTAGTATAAATATGTGCTAATCACAACGTCAAAATCAAGCGATCGTCGGGTAATTACATTTAATATATATTTTTTTAATTTCTTATAGATATGTGAAAATATATTCAAAGGCGTGAATACACTAAATCTCTGAGTTTTCATCACAGACATCCTTTTTTTTCTTTTTAATTTTAATATTCATCTTTTGATTAATTAAATTTAATCTAAAAGAAGTTTTGATTTTGGACGTTCTAGGTTTTGTTTTTGGTATTACAAGTAATGTAATGATTATATTCATATATAATCAAAGCTAGCGATAAAAAAATTTAAAAAACCGTTTGTAATAATTTTCAACTAGAATAAAACAATTCATTCCAAAAAATCATAGCGGAAAAAAAAAACTTCGTACAAAAAAAAATGACAGATGTCTGTGACGAAACTTAGAGATTCGGCATATTCACGCTACCAACAGAAGAAGTGGCGGCACCACCAGCATCA